TATTAGAAATTGTATTTAATTTTTTGATTTCAGGTATAGACACACAGTCCACTTCAGACCCTCTAGGCACGAGAGGTATCATCGCAATTGCTAGGGTGTTAGCTTTATGTGCCACCTATGTAAAAATATAGTTAATTTGTACAGAGTTATGTAACATAAATGCAAAAATATTGAATATTTCCTTAGCTACTGCTACTATTTTTTTTATAAAATATAAGAGGGAGCTTTCACTGCACTTAAATAACTAAGGAAATAATACGTGCTTAATAAATTGGTATTATTAATTACTAAGTATAAAAAAATAATATTCCTAACCCATTTGTTTCTGTAGGCAGTCATCCAAACCAAAGTCGTACATTCAGACAGTCTCATCATTTCTCGAGCAAAGAATCTAAAATGTACTTCAAATACTGGGTAAATGAGAACTGTTTTTAATGCACTGAATCCAGCGAAAATCCCATTCGACTGATAATGATATTTTTGAATACGATATGAATCGAAATTATATTTATTTTGTAGGTAATCTGTTTGCTCTGCTTTTCTGAAAAAGACGTACTAATTACCATATATTTCTATTATAACGCCTGTTGAAAAACAAATTGTTATCTGTGATTAGTGACGAATAATAGGATGTTTACCGTAAGGCCAAACGACCTAACGGTCAATAAGCCCAATGAGAATCCCATGGGGCCGATCTAAACACCTAAATAATGAGAGTAACTATATTTTTATACAAATCTTTTGGTTAGTAGAAACTGAATATTCATTTAGTCATCGTCTTATGCCAATAGGGAAATAAGTTTAGAGTCGTTTATCCAATCTACTCACTCTAAAATTCCAAGCCCAACTAACGAACAGCCGCATAATAACACAAAAATACTTTCGTTCCTTTTATGAACTGTATTCTCCACAGTCCACATTGTCTCCTTTACATCTAATGTATTGAGGAGTTGAGCTATCAATGGTATGTCTATTAACTCTGCTTTACGAACACGTAGCTTGCTAAAATGTTTTCCATATGATTATCATGTTTTTTATACATATATTTATTATAAATTAAAATTGATTAGTCTAATTTTAATGTAAGCATTACCCTAGAATGGCATTTCTATGTGCAATGTACAAAGCATATTTACTGCAGACATTCGGCTTTGCTGGGATACACTGAAAATAAAAATAACAAGAAAATACCGCGTCACAAATATGCACGTGTAAATATTATTTACCTAGATAGTTAAGCACTTGACTTATAATCTGTAACTATGGGATTCGAATCACGCCATGTACTAATGTGTTTTTTTACCTTCGAATTACATACATATGTACATTTAACCGACGTTCTTACGGTAAAGGAAAACATCACGATGCAACGTGCACGTATCTAAAAAAAAATTCAAGGATATGTGTGAAGTCAACCAACCCGAGTTCCTCAGTTTGGACTTATAGTGAGCTGATAGTATCTATTTACATTAAGCTGTTTAAGTATAAACTTACACAGAAATGTTGTAATAGAGGAAAGCTTCTTTCGGTACACGGTACACGAATAATACAATAGTCGTAATCTTTCATTGCCTCAAAAGCAGCTTCGAGGAAATCAAATGACTGCCTGAAGATTATAAGACAATATAACATTATAAAATTCACATTAATCTCCAAGTTTTTTTATTAATAAATTGAATAGTAACTTATAATCAACATCTTCACGACATCCAAAAAGTTCAATTATAAACGCGTTTGGTTCGCCAGAATAATTAATCTTATTAGTCTCTTCTTGCTTCTTTGCCATTACTGAAGTTCTTCCTAAAATTAATTAAAAGTTTTCAACATTGATTAGGAATAAAAATAATTGAAAGAAAAACTACACTCAAATTTATAATTTTCGTAAACCGACTATGACATCATGTAATAATGCAAATATCATACTTTTTAATTTTGTCTCAAACTCTGTTATTGTAGATAGTCTGTCACTTTGTGATTTTGGCCTGAAAAGAAAATCTCTCGTTATTTTATCACGAATATTACCTAGCTATTTTTTATTCCTTGCCAAATTATCTAAACTGCAAGATGTAAATCCTTTAGAAATACATAATTTCAAAGTCTGTTCCGCAAAAAAAAACTTTGTTTTATAGTAATTATATTTTAAAATGTCTACTTACTCATAATCACGAGATATAACGCGTGGTACTTTTAATAATTTCGTATCGATATTAACGATTTCATAATCGAATGGATCTTCATCTAAAAGCTCGGCGACTGATGCATTCGATATAAGAGACACAGTTGGAGATGTTCCACCTAATTTCACACTATAATCATCTGAGACATCCTTCTTCATATAAACACGATCGTATCTGTCTTCAGTAAGCGATATATGTCTAAAGATAACTTTACTCGATGTTTTAATTCTCGGTTCCGCTGCTTTTTCACCTGATGTAATCTAAGATATCAAATTGATTGTTAGTAGTGTTAGGAAGAAAATCCGAAGCTGTACCAGTGTACTGGCGCAACACTAGCCTTACTAAAATGTCGACGTTTACCCCTCACTATTCATTCTGACACTTGACTTGGTAATGCAAGCGCGCCAAAGGATTCTAACTAATAATGTCTAAAAGTATTATAGTAATTACTATAGCTGTATTATTAAAAAAAATAGCTATAGCCCACGACTCCGTCCGCGCGGAATTAAAAATAAACTTAATAAGTCGCCTATGTCTTCTTCCAGACTATGTTCTACATCTATGCCAAATTTCAGCGAGATCTATGCAGCCCTTCTGGAGACATCTTCCAACTAATATCCATCCATCCAAACATTCGCATTTATATTATGAATGAGTTAGAACTAGGTAGTAAGATAAGATGTACGTACATCTTCATCAGTCTTTTGCTTAGCTTTCGATGTACGATCAAATGGGCCCCATCTCCCGTACAATATAGGTTCCCTAGAAATGTTTCATAATTGTACTTGATTAATTTTAAAAAATATATATATTAATGAGAAAATTATAGAATGTTGTGAATGGCTTCTGTAATTTTAGTAATAATTTTCTGAAAATACAATAAGAACATTTATTACCCAAATGCTTTTAACAATACGTTATTTCGTTTTTTAAGTTCCTTCTCAAGCGGTGTTGCTTTTCTCAATCCATAATATGGATTTAAATCGTAAGTATTCTGCAAATTTTCGTAGTTAACTTCTGCGTTCAAGCACATAACTCCAATGACATGATCTTGATACTACGGAGACAGAGAAACCGTGACCATGAGAATGCTATGATAAAATCCTCCTTCCTTGTGATCAGACTACGAAATATTTTACGCATATTTACTTACAGCAGCCACAATAACTTTACGTTTCATCGATGGATGGCGGCTTATTATTTCACTAATATAATATTCTCCGTATAATTCCTTTAGTTGCGGACATTTTTTATCTAGGATTTCTACGATATCATCATTATCTTCTTCCCTAAATAAAAAAAACAAAGTCATGTTTTGTATACAATAATATGACACAAAAAACATAATAAGATAAAATAAAATGTGTTTATTACTTACACAGCTCCCCTGATCTTAAGTTTGGGACAAAAGTCTTGTCGCATTGCAGCATAAAAATAACAGCAATTACCATCCCTAAATCCACTACCCAGTTTACTAGGCAAATATCTATAGACATTTCGTTTTTTGGACGCCAAATACCTTGGTATATAGGCTAAAAATAAACGAAGAATTATCATACAATAATACATAAAAAAAATTAACGGTTATGATGAAATGTAATTATAATTACCTTCAGGACATCCATGGGGGACCATAAGAATAATATTATTTAAATAAACATCCTCAGCAAACACGGAAGTCAATGCTTCTTCTAGAAAGAAATCTGCGACATCATCAAGGCAACAGAGAAAATGTATGAAGAGTGTATTCCGCGACAAATAGTATTTTCTTAAAATAAAACATTTTAATGTAAAAGATGAAATGCAAATGGCAGAACTTTATTTTTTGAATTCTGGAAGGTGAGGCTTGTCCTTTGTAGTAAAAGCACTAGGTAAAGATATTCATCTCTCTCATTCTCCTTGTAAAAAAAGGACAACAAAATGCTTTGATATAAGTATATTTAATATCTTACTGAAACATATTCCTCATCCATATCTCCCAATCCACTTGACTGACTCCGGGGACGTTGGGGTGATCGCCCAAGGCCATGAAACCTATCACATCTTTGTTTACATCGATCATACATATTGATAATGTACTCAGTTCACTGAAAAATAGTTTACTGTTATTAACACCTTGCAAGTTCATCGTGCCCTTCCCCAGTATTTTTTTAAGCCTCGCAACACCAAAAATTGTATTCTAAACAAGAACTCGTGCTAACTTTTGAGCTCCCAAGATGTTTGGTAAACGTTGAAATCATAGTGGAGTTGAGTGTGTTAACTTTTACTCTATACAAAATAATGAACGTCGACTTACATAAGGGTTCCAATATCTGCGCCGCCGTATATTTCTCCATATGATTTGTTGATTAAATATTCAATGTCAGCTTTATCACTATCTATAGCTCTCCTAAACCTTCTTCCAGTCGGCCCTACATCGAAGTTGAAATATATCGACATTTGGAATTACACTAAATTGCCCGTTTCTCATAGGCCATGGTTATGTTACGTGTTTGTTTTTTTTAAAAAGCATATATATTTTTTTAATTTTACCCAAACAATTATTCAATGCCTGGATTTCAAACAAATATAATTCATTAGCGAAGCATTTTCTTTCTGAGTATTTCAATAAAACACCATTTTTTATCTATTCAAAATTTATACAGCAATGTACATATTAAAAAAAATTGAAGGGATTAAACCTAAAACTATTGCTAATAATAAGATTATATCTCTTTAAAATACAATTGTTGCAAAAATAAACACACTTAACGTTTAAATAAAAAAAATCCACATTATAATTTTTAGTAAAAACTTAACCAAATATATTAAAAAACTATAAGTTTATTAGAAAAATATCCCGTTTGGATATTTATATATACTTTATTATAAATATCCACAACGGCACAAAAGTTTGCGTTGTTTATCGAAAACGTATCATTGAAATACTGATCGAATATTAAGTACTAGTGCACACAAACAAGCTGCCTAAATAATACAATATTTACAAAACTACAACTAAAGTTAGTAATGCAATGAAACTAAACTAAAAATGTGTCAAAATATAAAAGTCAACATACTTATGGGAAAACTAAAATACTAATTATTGATACATGATAAACTAAAAATGGTGGGTTAGAAGTTATAATAAAATTATAAACGGATTTTATGAACGTCTACATACAGCTAAACTATTTTTTTTTTAACTTTTACTTTGTTAAACCAAACTTAATTAATGAAGGTTTATTTTCACAATTTTGATAAAATTTACTTTCAGACAGATTGCCGTCTAAATCATCCACTTCAGACCTTCATAACTACAGATTTTAAAAATAACATGTGCATTAATATTAAAAGAACAGATTTAAAAAAAAACACAACAAAGTATTTATAAATTAGTATGAAAATCGTAAGGAAAGAGTTTAATTTTGCTGAACGCCACAATTTTTTAAAACAAATATCAAAAACGACATCTTAATTGGACGAAATTAGTCCAACATTTTTGCAATTATGTACAATTATTTTATTATCATAGTAAAAACGAAATAATCTCAAATTAGCGATAAATCTTAAATCTTCATTGTAAAGAAACTTCTATGTTATGAGTTTTCTCACGATGAGGAAACCTTTTAATATGAAACATGATAGAGGATAAATAATTGCTGATTTTTTTACCAAAAAACGTAAATTACTTCTCGTTAACATCAACATAATTTTCTTTTTGCTATATCAAGTAAAGTATTCACGTACAGTCGACAAAAAAAAATTACCACAAACTGTAGAAATAAAATCGTAGAAAGTAGAAACTTCAATGGACATTAGTAAGAGAGTTACTATTTTATAATATTTATCAGTAACTTGTCACAATATCCTGTTCCTTTATATCTGAGTGTTTAAATATCACATAGTCAAACACCTAAATATGGTCCAGCCATTACAGTAACGGAGGTAAGTCTTTTGCTCTGGCCATATGCGTTTGTGACTTTGATCTCCTCACATTATTAGGTGTGTTTTTCATTGACAGAGGTGTGACAGGATTTTGTCTCAAATAATCTTTCTTCGCACTCAATGGCTGTGGAGTTGCAAAGCCATCGTTGTTCAACTTGGAGATGGATTTTGATCTGGTTAGTCGTTGCGGTGTGCACATTATGTTGGGAACTTTATTGTGATGGTAAATGTTCTCTTTCTCCATCTTAGGAGTTTGCACAATTCTTCGCGGTGTTCTTTTTGGGGTGTCAAATACTTCGATACGTACGTTGGGTGCCGCCTCTTGATCTCTGACCGCCATCGAACTACGACTGATTTTATTCTCATCAATACATTCCTGGAAAAAAAACATTAAATATTGATTACTACGTATGCTGGAAGCATTGAGAAATCGTTTACACAATAATATAACAGTTAAATATATAAGATTTGACAACATTTTAATACCTTGTAGTTTTTTCTTTAAATATGTTCGTATTAGTTTTTTGAAGAATTTTAAGATTTAAGGTACGCTTTGAAATGTTTTTTCTTTTCTACAAGATGAACTGGTCGCCTGTGTAATAATTAAATCGCTTAAAATTGCAGTAAATATATACTCGAAGTTTCAAAAAATATTTTAAAACTAGAGTTAAAATTTTCAAACATCTTGGCTGCTCAAAACATCGTACAAGACACTACGCAGAAGACATTTCTAGATAAGGCACTGCGCAGTCAACCGCTAAAAAGTGTCGCTGTATCGCACTTTTGGCATTATGAGCACTTTGTCGTGCTAAAACTTACCTTGAAGTCTGTATACGTAGTGAGAAGTGTAGTTTCAGAGAGAGGGTTCTTAAATTTATTCAGAGTGTTGTCTTCCTCCTGCGAGCTGATGTTTGAACGGCCTCCATTGCTGCGGCGGCCATGGGACTGGAAGCAATGGCAGAAAATTCATTTTTTATTGTGGATTTCTGAGACCAAAATCCCTATTGTTATCTCTGTACTGTCAAAGATAATGACAGGGATGAAAATATTTTTATACAGCGGTTTTAGTGTCAGAAACTTATGGATAGTCATAATAAACATTTGTGATATTAATATTAATGTTAAACAACTTTTGAATATAAAAGGGATGGGTTTTGATATAAAGGCATGGAAGAAAGTGTAATGTCGATTACACTGAAAATATCCCTATATCATCAGATCACATAGGTCTTTAGTACTGCTGTGACAAAATTATTTACAACTATGTATATAATTACCGTTCGCTTGTGTTTTAGTATATTACTGTTGACAGCGATTTTAGGTGTTTTGGAATCAACGCCGTAATCGAGCATTCTCTTCACTTGATTGGCCTTCGCATCTCCGCCTGCTTTGGCAACCAAGCGGCCACTTATACGCCTGTAACAAATTATTTTATAAATTGAAATAATAAAATATATTTACTAAAGCTACTTTCACTGCTATTTTTTATCGTTGCAATGATATTAAAAAGTCCATAAGTTACCTTTTAATGGTGGACATAGCAGTTCTCTTAAGAGCAGACATATTGTGCGCGTTCGAGACCGCTTTGTTAGCACTGCCGGTCACCAACTGACGCTTTACAGGCAACCTGCAAATTAGAAAATACACATATACATTTTTAAATCCACAATGTCGACAAATATATCATTCTTAATAAATATTACAATTAAGTGCAATGCAAAATATGTTTTTTGGTTAATGCCCTTCGCCCACATATTGTCTATCTCGAAAACGGCTTGCTGAAATTTGGCATAGATATAGAACATAGCCTGGAAGAAAACATAGGCTACTAATTATTTATTTTTATTACCACGCGGAGCCGCGGGCGACAGCTAGCTTTAATATTGACATGAGTTGATATAACCGACCTGTTCTTTTCAGCAGTGGAGGCGAGTCCGGCAGCGGTGCGGTTACGTTTCCCGAGCGGCGAGGTGGCCATGGAGCGGAACATGGGTGTGGACGGCGTCAGCGCCTGCTTGCGCGCAGACAGCTTGTTGTGACGTTCCTGCAAAACAATTATACTTCATATACTGCTCAAATCATATACTACTTTCATACATACATCTCTAAAGCGAGCTTGTTCAATATTGTGCATGAAAATCGTAGTGGCATTAAACAACTTAATAGCCCATTTTACTAAACAGTCTAACATTAAATAATATTAGTAGAGATTGCAGACCTATTGTATAGCTTTCACAAAGAATACTCACTGCTTTCCTGTCTTCCCAATCGTCCAACATCAGCTGAAGCAATGGTTTGCCGTCCACTGTGAAAGTATTGCCAGTTCTCTCTTGATATGCCGTAACCAACTCCCGTATTTGAGCCTCTATCTTAGGAAGCTGAAAACAATTACAAACCCTTATACTATTATATAACCATGACAAATTGAACAAATATAAATGAAAAATAGTGGTCGCCCGGGACTTCGTCTGCGCACAATTTTAAAAAGTAGCATATAATATGCCGCCGTGCCTGAGCTACCTTCTCGTCAAAGTCCCATCAAAATCGGTCCAGTCGTTCCGGAGATTATCCGGAACAAACGCAGCCTTGGGGACAGACATACAGACGGAGAGGCAAAAATTTTAATAATTAATTTACCTTTTCATCAACACAAATATTTCATGTGCTTCGTGCACTATGATATGATTTTTTCGATATTACATGCAGCACCCTTATTTTATTAATAAGTAAAGATAATAATATAAAGGGGGTAAATAGACAGCATGAAAGTGCTTACATTGCTGGCGATAGCTTTCCTCTCCTTCTCCTCTTTGAGCAGCTGTCCGCCGCGGTTGTGGTATCGGCCGGGCTCCGTGGCGCGCGCCTCCAGCTCCGTCATCTTGCACCACAGGTTCTTGCGCGTCGCCACCAGGTCGAAGATTTCCCTGGTTAAAAATATATTTTTTAATATACTTTTGGTTATCAGCTAAAGTTGTCATAAGTAACTAGTTTCAACACTGTTAAAGCTACTTTTTATTCAGATAATTAGAAATTTTGTATATTTCCCAATGTTTTTAAAAACAAATAAAATTTGTAAAGAACTTACCTTTGTTCATTATAGTGTTTGGTGAGTTTTTCCAAATACAACTCATGTAAAGTAAGAACATCTTCAGTGAATGTGTCCTGGTAGTAATGGACGAATTCCTCGCGTTCCTTCTGGGAGTACATTAGATTGTCCCACATCAGCTTTATCTTTGTTCTTACATTTGCCACAAATACCTAAAAAAAAAAGAAATTTGTTTTTTTCATTATGAAAATTAATTTAAGAGTTTAAAATAATATTTTTAAGTGGTTTCTACTTCTTATATGACCAAGTAACATAATTAATCAATAACCTTAAGAAGGCGACAAAGAACTAATGTTTTTCCTCATTGATAAAAACAATCTGGAGCAAAAAAAGCACAGAAAACAAAATGTATTTTTACCTGTATTTTCTGCCTTTTGATTTGATCGCACCTCCTAATCTCCTCCTTTAAAGCATTCTCAGTATCAGGGTTGCAACCAATGTGTGCTTGTAAGAAATTCTCTCTGTATATATGATCCTCTTCAAGACAATCCCAAAGTTTTGCTAAACGTTCCCGTAACTCTAACACCTAGATAAATAATATTTGTTTGAATGCACATCGTGATGCCTCGGTTTACTCTGTACTTTATTTGTAATATAGTAGTTATATTATAGTACAAACTAACATACAAACAGCCCATTAAAGGACCAATGAGAAGCCATACAAATAATATTAGAATGTGGATAAGATGCGCTAAGACCAATGGAAATATTTTCTCTGAGTAATTGGTGTCTGTTATATTGTTTTTCTTTCAATGAATACTTACTCGATTATTTGTCTGTTGATATTTATCCTGTAGATCCTGTTGCAACTTGGCCAGTCTGTCCATGTTAAGGTCTGTCACCTTAAAGTCCACTGACAATGATGATACCACTAACTGTTCAAATTTATTTTGTGGTTTTATATGTAACTTTTCTGAAAAATAAAGTATAAAATGTAATTTGAACCTTTAAATGTATTTTAACACATTTTTTTTTACCTTATTATGAAGTAGCGACAATACAAAAAAATTATTATAGTATTTTGTTACAAAGTGGTTTCCTAAATTAATTTAGGACTTACTCAAGTATACCAATATTATAAGCTGAAACAATGGTTATAACTATCAAATGTTACATATAGGATGGGCTCTTTGCGGAGCACAAAACTTTGGTATAGCGGGATGTAAAGAGATGTTGAGGAAAATTCAGCTGACTTTGAGACACACAAACAAAATATTGAAATAATAATCCTCAAGTAAACTTACCCATAATGTCCTTTATTTCCACTTGGGTATTCAAGAATATTTCTACCCTTTTATCTCGTTCCGCCTGTAGCACCTCTAGGTGATTTTTTAATTTATCCAATTCCTCTTCAGACGGTAATGGCACATCTTGAAGTTCGTAGATGGTAGTTCCGAGCTTCTCTCCAATATCCTTCTGCCACTCAAGCAATCTCTCCATTTTCATTCGCCGTTGAAGTACTTGTTCCCTATACCTGGATTGTTTTAATTCATACCATTTTACTTAAATTTTTAAAATGGAAATTACTTTATGAAATACTGTGCCAAAATCAGTACGAGGACTTTAAAGGTTTTTACCTTAACACTTAGCATATTAAAAACACAAATGAGCTAGTTGCTATTTAAGCTTTTTTTTAAGCTACATCCAAAGACTTAATAACTTACCCTGCAATTTGATTTTCAAGTTCTTTCTTATAATCAAATAACAACATATCCTCTTTAAAATCCATTATTGTTATGTCTACGGAAAGACATCTACTGAGTTCCTCAGTTTCTTCTTTGAGTTCTGTAAAATTGTAAATATATCCATTTCATTAAAACAATAGTGTAGATGTGGTATAGATAGAAATAATTAGTGGTGTGAATTGTACACATAATTTATTCAAAAATACTTTTTAAGAATATGACACAAACTTTTATAATATATAGATAGATTTTCTGTACTTACTATCAATTTGACTCTGCATCGTTTTGAATTTTTGCTGAGTCTCCAATATAACTTCACGATGAAGATCCTTTTCAATTTGTACTAGTTTAGTGATATTGCTAATTTTAATTGCATTATCAACTCCTAAATGTGACCAATTGGTCCACAACTCTTCCATCATATGGTATATATTTTGTGATATTTCTTGGAGAACCTCATTGCTGCAATGTTATTTTATGATTATATTCTTTATTTATAGGCTTTACTAGCTACGAGAGTATATTATTAAAACTAAATAAAGGACTTTTGTTGCTTATCAATACTAAGCCGCACCCTGGACTTCAACTTTTGTCAGTTTTAAATAACAATACTTTTGGAACAGGAGAATATGACTTAAATAACCTTACAAGGGTATTTAATGTACGGCATGTAAAACATCGTTTCATTTAAATTATAACGAGCATTTTGAAAACACTTACAAGAGATTCCGAACATCTTCAGTTATGGCAACCATCTTCACTTCACCAACGTTTAACAGATTTAAGCACACAAATTACCTTACTTTAAAGATAAATTATAACGTAAAATAACTAAATTAATAAATTAATCTTCTTTACAAATACTTTCGTCAATTACCTGCGTCAAACGGTCACAACAACTATAAACTTTACAACCGATAAGTGTTCAAATGTTAACGGAAAAAAATACAAACTGAGCGCCATACTGTGTTTTGATTGGTCAACGTGATCTTTCAAAAGTGGGACCAAGCAAAGACAATTGAAGCATACATCCACACGAGTGCAAAGTTTTAACAAGAAATCATAAATCTTTCTTAAAAAAGAAACCTATTTTTTTCAAACAACTGTTTTTAACTTCTATTGATAAGTTGATTTAAAAAAAAAAGTAATTTAAAATAGTTTTAGACAAAGACTATTTTATCCTGCTAACAGCTTATAGGTACAAATAAATAAAAAGGGGTTTACAATTTTAGAATTACAAGGAACCACGCCCAGGCGACCATAATTTGCTCTAGATTTACCCACGACGAAACTGTCACGCGATTGACCACAAAATAAATAGCTAACCACCGCAGATCATAAAACATTGATGACCAAAGGGACCTGCTTTGGGAACTTACGAAGCGATTAATGCCTAATGGAGACAAGGAAGCCGCATCGAAATTACTGGGATAAGTAATTCTAAGATTAGTAACTAATGCTTACCATCACAGTGACGTCATATTATTATTATTTCCGCGAAAAAATTTGGTCTAATAATCATTTTTTTTCAACAAAAAGTCTCTCCGGCGGGGAATCGAACCCCGGTCTCCCGCGTGACAGGCGGGGATACTGACCACTATACTACCGAAGACTTATTCTAAATGATGAAAAGGTATTTTTTGAGCAGTTTTTTACGTCATAACATTTAAAAAAAATTACTAAATATTGTAGTTAACCTTTATAATAATATTGAAATTTATAATAATTTAAAACTAATAAGCATGAACTAAACAGCTTAGTACAATACTATGACGTAAATTTTACTGATAAGAATTATTAATATGATTCATCAGCAAACTAGACGGTAAAAAGACAAAATTAACAAATCCTTTTTGAGGTAGTCATATCTTATACATAATATACTGTATCTTTCATTTTTTATTAAAATAAAATTGCATATTTTGATGTAAGGGAATTTGCTATTACTTATTTATCAGGAGCCGTTCTATGTTGTTATTAATTACTGTCATCATAAGATATAATTAATATCTTATGAAATAATATAATAATGACCTGCCTATCATAAAATGCTAGTTTATTTATCTTTGGTAGTGTAATAGTGTTTCTAAAAATCTTTTGTTTAATTGAGCTACCCATCACACCTTATGATGTGATCTAAATCCTTAATTCGAATATTTGTAGAAAACATGAAAGTGTTTCTAACTGTATCCGGATGTACGATGAATTTATACAGATTGTAACAACATCGAATGTCCCAATGCGAGATACGCGATCGGCATGAGAAGCGAGTAAGTGGAGCAGAGAAACATGGCGGAGATTCCGGCGGCTTTAATTTTTACCTTTCACTTAGATATTGAATTAATTAATATTCTTAAATAATTTATATAAATCAAAATTATAACAGAAAAATAATAATTTCATAGTATCAACGAAATAATATTTTTTTTTAGTTTGTAATGGGTGATGGTTGAATGACATTGTTTCTGCGTTTAGAAGGCAATAATAAAACTTCAAATTCGATCCCGTGACCTTAAATTTATTTTTCATACCTCCTTACTGGGTCAGCTGTACTACTAAACTATTATCGACAACCCAGTGATGTAGTGTTATTTAATTAAACTGAATTACTTTGAAATCCCACTACTACTTGTGTTAATGTTAAATCATAGTGTTGACTCTGCTTTTTTAATCAGAACAAAAGAGATGACAATTTGTTTGTATACAAGTATTTAGATAGTGGAAACACAGTTATGTAAGTGAACTCTAACTTCGAGATCGTTCTTACGTATCATTATTGTAAGTGTGATTTATGTCTGTCGTTCCAATTTCCACGAGAATTTCTCTGAATTATGACATGACGAGTAACAACAAATTGGATTATATTTATTTATCCATATTTTTTTTAATTTTCAGGGCAACATTCGCCTTATATTTTTATTGTGTAATGATTGTGGTTATAACAATCTTTCTTTTAATGTAGACTAGATGTGATTGTTATTTAATTAGAATTTTCTAGTGATTTATTGCATGTCGCTCGCCTGTCCTTAGAATTACTTCATAGTTGCCTGTTACTTTAATTCAAATAGTACCATTCAGGCGTTATGTAAGTAAGAGACACAATTAATAGAGTTTGATCAAAGTTGTTACGCGACTACCCACTTTGAGTTTAATTACATACTGTATTACTTAAATTGCTTAAGTAAAATTTTTATAATTGCAATGATTACATTTTTACACTAATATAAAGTGCATTTAATGGAACTTCTTCATGATGCCGGAATGACATCATGTCATTTCCAGCAATGCAAATTTAGTTTCGAGCGTGAGTTTCGAGAGGTCTACATATACTACGTTTGCGCAAACTACATTTATCTACTATGTTATTAGATTCGTATTACCCAAATTGTCATACAGAAGAGTCTTGTTTTTTTTAATTATGTAGATAGTTATCGTTTTTGTGAAATACTTAACTTTACCCAAACGCCGCCGCTCGGTTTATGTCTCTCTACTTATAAAATTCATCATATGATAACTTAGCATCTTACTAATATTATAAATGCGAAATTTTAGATGGATCGATGGATGGATAGATGAATGTTAGGTAGAAAGTATTTCCAGAACGAGAAAATTTTACATGGATGTAGAGCATTGTCTGGAAGAAAACATAGGATACTAATTAAGTTGTTTTTAATACCACACGGACGTAGTTGCAGACGACAGCTAGTGTTTATATAAAATCTATAAGTAATTTTTCTTAGGTTAAAGCTTAATCAGGTAATTTACGTTGTATTTGAATGAATTCTTGATATAATGTATTGCAAGTAAAGGAAGTTATTACCGACATGTTAGGATTTTGCTAGTTGTTAGTGGGTTCATTATGCCATCACAGCCGATCATTACTGCACTGTTGTTAGCTCACAGCGTATGTTCCCACGTAACTATTTGTAAACAATTTCAACACTAATTCTACTTAAATATATAATAAAAATTACAATTAGCTGTCAAATAATAAAAATATTATTAGGTGTATATTTCCTAGTATCGTTAGAACTATACAATAGAAAGAACGAAACATTGGATTTTTTTTAAACACTATGATTATGATTTGTCCACAAGGATGGACAACTCCTTTATTTCTGGAGTTCTCGTCTTCAAAGTATGAGATAGGATTTCATTTTTAGTAATTACGTGTATTGATGGTAACTAAAACTTTGAAATTTTTTTAGTTTTGTGTTAAACAGGAACCAGTATTTACATCATATAATATACGAAGCTGTAATATCTGTTAACTGACTCATCAAATCGTAGATTTATTCGGCGTAAATGTTTCCGCAATACTTAAACTTTCCCCATCTTCAAGTAAAAAGAGCATTAGAAACAAAAATATGTAAAATATCCAATTGAGCTCATTTTGCTTAATGTTCGTTGTCTGTTTTTTTTCAATCTTTCTAAAGTCCACATCAAATATTTTGATAAGCATTAATTTCATAGTATAGAAGTTAGACTTAGGCTGTTTACAAACAATAAGAATAGAATATTTCTTTGAATTTTTGATACGATGTTCATATTTAAGTGAGTGAGTAATGAAACATGGAGTAGGCATTTAGTAGTAGGATTGACGGGCCCAAATCTTAATGAGAAAACTTCAAAATATATATGAAATAATGGAAAAGATTGAGTCGCTACTGTACTCACAACCTACCTACAGAACCTATAGATACTTAATATTTGAAAAACATCGTAAAGAATTGATTGGAAATCGAATCAAAAAACCAGACTACAAACAACTCAGTATCGCAACCACTTAGGTTTTACTCGCTGTCATAAATTCATTATAAAAAGTTAGTGAGAAAATATACCACATTCGTAAAATGGGACGGAGGCGTAACAGCCGCTATTGCATGCAAATCGAGATCAATGCACCGCAGCAGCGCCGCTTACGGAACAATTAAAATTGTCACCGTTTCAGTGCATAATATCATATGAATAAAACACACTTATGTCTTCTATCGGTAACTTTTTCCATATATCTTTCTGCCTCGACAAATTTCTATCTATTGTTCAAAGCAAAGCACGAACGAACTGTCATCGTCAATGTAGCAATTGGTAAGACGTAACTTGCAAGCAGAGCACTCACACACGGCCGCAGACTAAGTGAAAACGAGTATAAAAGCAATGCAAATTGCAAACGCCGGCATTACCTGCAACCCTCTCGTGGAGTGAGCCGAGCGAAAGTACCACAATGAAATATCATGTGCGTAAATACTCTGTGCTTGTTGTGATCGTGCGCCAGAAACTAATAGTGCAAATTTTGATCGGTCCGATTTGATTAATCGAAAATGTGTTAACTAAATTACTAATTATCTAAATAACCATATCTTCTTAACTCTTCCTGATTTATCGAATACGACTCGCTGTAGGAAGTTTATTTAGTTACACAATATTCAGATGGGAGTTTCCTCATGCTATACTTTGCGAAACAAGTTTCCAGATAATGTCTTTACAATATCTTTCGTTAAACATGCCGACTATTAAATTAACTGTCTGGAAAACTTCCGGCAATTATTATAATCTATTCGAGACATGTATTGCAAGTTGCAATAAATTTATCATTTCTATTTTCAGATTTTCTTAGGTTTCTTTGCTGTGGTCGCAGCCTACCCTGGTTTCATCCATGAGCAGTATCCTCAAGTCGAGGAGAAGTACGATCATCAGGGTTTGATCGGAGAGTCAGGGCATTCCCATCAGATACAGCATGAACATGCAAAGTCGCACCAGTCTATTAAGTTTGAACACTTCCACCCGGTGCCCGTGTATGTGAAGAAAGAGCACAGTCATCTTCTGAAGCATCCTCTTGAGAAGGGAACTAGCGAGCAAAATTTGAAACAGATTCACCCTGAGGCACAGCACAACCACGGTGGCGGTCTGGTGCTTGAGGACCACAGACTCGACACAGAACATCTCGCTGCCAGCCTCGGCCACGGTGGCTATGAACAAGGCCTCGAGCACGGAGGATACGAATCATTGGGTGGATACGAAGGATCCGAAGGCTTGAAGGCTTACGCTGAGCTCCAGCAGCCCCAGTCTGAAGGACATTACTACCCTGAACACAGCCAAGGTGTGTCAGGAGAGAGCTCTGAAGGTTACAAATACGAAGGCTACAACTAATCACATTTATTTTAAAATATTTCAACGGGCATATCCGTGGAGTCTGTCTCCACTATCTAAAATTATTTTAGGTTAACGTCTTGCCTGTATCCGTTGTATTAAGATAAGATCTAGTTGACGAACTGATATTTCGATTGCTTTAAGCTTTTGTGGTTGTTAAGGCTTCGTATTTTGAACGCTACGTACCTGAGATAGATGTAATCAGTGAATCGTTGAGAGCATTTTTAAGGAATTGCTGAAATTAAATTAAATTTTGTTAAATTTTTTGAATGTGGATTTGTATGAGAAAATTAAATTATGAATGGCATTAGTTATTCTTGGTGTTTCGTAGAAAATTCTGTCGATTATTGTACTGTATGACTGTGTCTGTTTGATTGTTACTTTTATTGTTCGAATGATTATTTGATTTTTCTTTATTGTGACTTAGAGTGTATTGCTGCGTTCCAGTTTAATTGTGATATTAATAAAATGTTGAATTGAAAACTATTGATTTAATTATATACATAAATTACTGCCTATAGTAAGTATACATGAGTAAATATCTGATGTTTAACTTCCAAGTTTTAAATAAAATTGAATTATTTTTGCATGATATTGTAACGACGGACTTAATAATTAAAAGCAATAAAGACGATCTAACCTACTTTAAACAAATAGCACCATTAACATGCAACTACGATGGAAATTATCAAGTCCAGACGATTATCATTCAACAATCACGGAAGTTAGAATTTGAAACGAAAGAATCAAACGAGCTTTTTATTTTACATACTTACCATTATATGTATTGGTCAACTGAACATTTTGAAATAAACAAAACAATTATTATTCAGATTACATTAAATTATGTTATGCCAACAGTAATTATGTACGCGGTTCGTTTAGCTTGGCAACTGAGGTGTATGTACTTACATAATTTAAGAATTCGATCGAATAATTGCAAGAGTGTTGCGTACCTGCCAATTATCAAATGCACTCTGTCTGTCGATAAATAAACTGTTTTTTTTTTGAGTTTAATGACTGAAACAGATTGATTGCTGTTACAAGATTTAATAACTTGATAATGAATTAATTAAATTCATAAATCGTAGCAAAGTTGCAACGAAGAAAGTTACGGTTACACTTATAATATTTTACTAACATTATAAATGCGGATACATGGATGGATGTTTGTTTGTAGGTGTCTCTGGAACTGCTGAACGGATCTTGATAAAATTTGGTACCGATTTAGAACATAGTCTGAAAGAATACATACGCTACAAATTAAGTTTTTTTTAACAATTCCACTCGGATTGAGTCAGGGACGATAGTTAATTTAAATATAACTTTATTTAAAATAAAAATAAGAATTAAATCAATTGAGTTAACGAAACTTCAGTACATTACTTCGTTTCGTTTTAGTAGTTATTTCAGTATTGGCAAACGTCGACATGATTGTTCCTAAGTGTGCTGCAATCAGGCTAAGTCACGATTGCATTTGAAGGCTTTTTACTGTGAACTTAACTAAGCTTTTGATTTCTTAATAATAATTGGATATGATAAATTCAAAGAATATTGTAAAAGCTTGAAACGAAACGGTATTTTTCACTTTTCGTTTTAGGTTGGTAGCAAAGTTTTTTATGTTATTCATTTAAATATTTGACTCTGACTTGCAATGAATCTAAATGTAAAATGTGTTAAATAACAAGTAAGCACTTTAATTTATAAGCATTTTATTCAGTGTATTCACCTACATAGTAATCGTCGAAAGTGAGTGAAATCTAGACACAGTTGATTTCTTACATTAGATGCAGAAACATCACAAAAACATTAACGATCTAACGTACTTTGTATTCATATGATGATCTGACTATTTATGTGCTTAATCTTTTATATATAAAATTCTCGTGTCACAATTTTCGTTCCCATACTCCACCGAAACGGCTTGACCGATTGTCACGAAATTTTGTGAGCATATTGAGTAGGTCTGAGAATCGGCCAACATCTATTTTTAATCCCGCGCGGACGGAGTCGCGGGCAACAGCTAGTTTGTATGAAAAATCTCTTGCCAAAAAATGAAAAAAAAAATGTAGCCTGGTCATTTAAATAATTTATTTTCAAAGCAAAAAAATGATAATGATTTTAATTCAACTTTACTGGTGTATAACGAAATTTGTGTCGATAGTTATTTTGCTTATCGCATCCGATGAAGTATTATCGAATAGATACGATCGGAATGAAAAACAGTGTTAAAGACGTGTAACCACTTTCACGAAATGCCGTAGGCAAAACAAATTTAATTTGTTACTAGCAATTATAATACAATGGCTCTATATACAATATTCTGTTATATATATGCCAAATATCAGTGAGATCCGTTCCGGAGACACCTTCAAAGAAACATCCATTATAAATGCGAATGTTTAGATGGATGGCCATCTAAACATTCGCATTTATAATTTTAGTAAGATTATTCTTTATACTTATATAACATATTGTTACATTCGTACATACCCGTACTTGTATCTTAAATAGGGTTATATACCTAAACAAAGTCTTTTTTTTACCTATTTTTATAAAACTAACAATAAAACTTTGATAATAAAAATTAAATCACCTGAGCGAAACTGGCAACGGTAAATCTTTTCTACAACTATAAATCTTCGAATTCAAGACGCTATAACTATCTGACCCAATGGATTTTGTTTTAATTATTCATACTTAATGCAAATTTGTAGGGCGCTGAATATAAAATGATGTTCGTGGACGCGGAAAATTTGGATTTACTTAATTAACTGTTACAATACTTCTAATGTACTGATAGGCGTATTTTATGACAGAACTTATATAACTGAGACTAATACGTTTTTGGAATGTGCCATCACTTCCTGATTGTATTGAAATCAAATTCATTCAAAATTTTAATGTGGTGGGTGGTAGCAGCTTTCTAATGATGCGCCAACTTTTTATATTATGTTTTTAACAAGGTCAATTACGAAACGATTAGGCTCACTATTTTTTTTTGGTTTGCGTCGCTCAAGAAACTCTTGAGTAGATTTTTGTTCCATCTATTATGGCCCAATATTATCTGTATAATATTATCCATGAGTAGGCACTAGACCGTTACTTTACCCTCGCTATTTTCGTAACATTAGTTATAAATGCTTATAAGAAAATCTCCTAAAAGATTTAAAGAGCAATATAATTTAAAAGTTTTGAAAGTTAAATTCTTCCGATAGTTATGCGTGCCTTTATGAATAAAATAGCAAATTATCGTCAGCTATTATTGCTTAATCTTTTATGTAGTTTTATAAAAGAATGTGTTAGCTACAACTTGTACATTATATTAATAAGCATAGCTGTTTGTGCGGTGAACAAGTAGGTAAAAAAGGAATACCGGGTTTTTTGTGAATAAAAGAAATATTTGTAGAAAAAAAACAACGTATACTTAAATAACAGACATCACCATGAATCAACCATAAATTCAATAGAACACTCAACAAATTTTATAAAATGAAACAACAACAATGATAACCTATTTAGCGTTAATTAACTATTTGTCCCAGATGTGTCGGATGATGGTTATCCTCTCTGGCTGGCCTCTCTGGCGGGTTGGTACTTCTACTGTCACTTCCTTTCTGTTATCAGAAGGTACCCGACGCTCCGGTGCAGAGGGGCGCTCAGTCGTTGTTGTTGTTGTCGTTGTCGTTGTTGTTGTTGGTCTTCTTGTAGTCGTAGTTCTTGGTCTTTCGTTTTCAATACGAGCGGCAGCGGCTGCTTTCTTTGCTTCTCCTTTTTTAGATTTGCCTGATTGGTTAGCAAGAGGTCTGAAAATTTCCAAAGGAACGGGGAAGGGATGAGGAACTTTCACTTCGAATGGCTCCGGGATCGGGACTAAAACAGGTGTAGGAACTTTAACGTGCTTCACTAAAGAAGACTGGCGTTGCCTTGCAATAGTACCATCTTTGCGAATAACGAATGGCGCGCGGTTACCACGACCTTCCGCTCTTATATTGGCTCTTAGTTTTTCCAACTGAACTTTACGGCGTTCCTCGTTTTCAATCGCCTGTCTCTGGTCATTATATCTCGCAGAGAATCGGAATCTGCCCAAGGTAGTCTCACCGTCTGGTCTCGGTTGCTCTGTAGTAGTTGTAGTCGTGGATTGTTGTGAGGCCAGTTGTTTTCTCAATTGAGAACGGTTCAACTCCAACAAGCGCAGCCAACGTTCTCTGATTGGTTCTTCTTGAGGAGCCTTGGTCGTGCTTGGGGCAGGTTTTTCAGAAGCAGACTCGAAGGGAACTAGTCGGAATCTTTGCTGTTGCTCTTGATCTTGCTGAGTCTCAGGTTGAGCTTCTTCTGTTTCCTCTTCAACTTCCTCTTCTGTCTCAGGTGACTGAGCTTGTTCAGTTTGTGTTTCAGTTTCGGGATAGTAACGCAAGTAAGCGTAAGGATCTTCGGGGGATGGCACGAAATTCTTATCGTCTTGCCTGAAAAGCCAAGCGAACTGAGGGTCATCTTCAATTTGTTCCGAGGTTGGCTCTTCCACAGGTATCGTAGGCGCAGCCTGATCTTCTTCCTCCTCAGCTGCTTGAGATTGCTCTAACTCTTCAGGACTCAATTCGAAAAGGTCATCCTGTTCCGGCTGCTGCTCCTCAGTCTCTTGTTCAGTTTCTTCAGCAGGTTCAGCTTGATCCGCTGGCTCGGCACTGATAAAACCTTTACCTTCTTGTATCGCCTTAATTTGGCTTGGTGTAAGGTAAACTACGACTTCTTTTGTGGCATACCTCTTCTGAGGATTTTGCACTGCTGGTGTCTTATCGATAAATGTTTGTGGCCCGGGGTCTAACCGCTTGGATTGCACTACGACAATAGCGAGGGCCGCAAACATAAACCAAATCTGAAATAGAAATATTAGTATTATTATCAAATTACTTATTTAATTAATAGATTAAGGTCACCGCCCTTTTGCAAAATTATTTTTAATAATGACCAACAAACAATTTAATTCTAAAACTAATAAACAATAATTTATTAGGATTCTGATGTTTAACGTTTAATTTTATTATTTATGTTTTAAAATTTATCCACCATGTTTACAGATAAGTCACATATTTTAATAAATTAATACAGATTAAGTCTTATCACTTCACTATGTATATTTATTAGTTTACAAATTATTTAATTTGTTTATTTAATTTTTTTCAAACTTTAATTTTTTTATAATAAACTTACTAAAGAATTCATGGTGAGAAGGCACAAGTGGCTATGGATAGCGCTGTGGGACGTCTGTGCCAAAACGAGGAATCGACATTAATTTTATACAAAAGTCGAGTTTTCGAAACTATGTAAAATTTGGAGTCAAACCATAATTTTGAGCAGGGCGTTGGCATCGGTTACGTTTTTTTTGAATTAATTTAACTATCTATGCAAATATGCATATGGTACTTTAATGTCCAGAACTGGATTGACGATTTCGAAAACAGAAAAAAAAATCACAACTCTATTCAAAAGAAATAAATATCAATTTTCGAAAATTGTAACAGTAGGCGAAGACGGGGTCAGTGGATTTTTTTTCGAAATTTTTACAAATCATTTGCATATATATGTCTGTTAGCTTTTTCAATTTCGCAATCTAGGTCCTGACTATTCACTTTTTATTTTTAAATATTTTATCTGTAAAATTTTGTTACAACAATTGAACTAAAAAGAAAAAGTTCCCGCAACCACCATAAACAAGTTCGGTAAAACAAAATCTTAGCCATCTTTGGAATTAGCTTGAAATGACAAACAGTGGCTATTTTTGTCACGTCTCTCGTATATCCAAGAGAAGTTATTGATAGTAAAGCTAGTAAGTTATGACAGTAACACTGTAAGCTTGTAATTACGTTGCTTTAAATCTTGGTAAATTACACTAAAAATGGTATGAAAGTGATGGTACAAAGTTGTACAATTTTGTGATTTACTACATTACAATGTTTTAAATCGCCAATTTTCTTGAATGTAACAACGACGTTTACTAACTGGCAACTTAATAACTGTTTCTTGAAATGTTGTGTGGTTATGGAAAAGAAAGAAAAGGGACCCGCGACCGTATTCTAGTAACGAATATTTCGTATTAATTCCATACGCTGGTTGTGCGAAATGCCAACAAAAGCTTATATTGGCATTTCAGGTACTTTGTTTGTCCTTTTTACAAGTAAGGTGTAAATTCCGCGTATACTTTGTCGTTTGATATTATACCTGGGTTCTGAAGATCCGTTTTGCGGTTCTAGAGATACCTAGCAACAAACATCAATCCAAACATTCGCATTTTTACTTTAGTATTAGATATTAAGATAATAACACTCCCATCTGCCATTCTACATTACATCATTTGAGGAATACGGTAGTGAAAGTGTAAGTATTTTTGATTTTTGAATATGTCAATATGCTAATAAACCGTATTGTTAACATGTGGAAGCGCTAGGAAGAATCTCTAAAAGATATTTGCTTGGTAAGGGCAATTTTATTTTTCAGATAAAAACAAAATTTATGTGTCTTATGATCGTGATAACTTATAATTTGCAAAATAATAGTCGAATTATTCGATGAAAACCAATGTCGTTATGATGAATTTGAATTTAACGCGATGATAAGTGAAAAATGAAGCCTGCTGTTTTACAAGTGTTGATATGCAATAGTGCTGAAGATATGAAAATCAGTGGCGGAATGTTATAGTTTATTTAAAACAAACAAAACTATATTTATATATTATCAACAATTCTAAATGCGAATGTTTAGATGGATGGATGTTTGTTTAAAGGTATCTGCACAACGGCTAAATGGATCTCGATGAAATTTGGCACACATGTAGAAAATAGTCTCTAAGAGCACATAGGCTACTATTTTTTTTTTTTTTATAATAACTCCGCGCAAAAATGTAGAACATAGTCTGGAAGAATACAATCCGCGCTGATAGAGTCGCGACCGACCACAGTTCGTAACAAATATTCATAAAAAGGGCGTTTGTGTTACGTCTGTCCCCGTTATATGGTAGCCCTTGAACCCATAACCTAAAACCATGGATAAATTTTGATTATTACACAATTAAAGATGGCATTGGCTTACGGCAGAATACATTAAGAATTTAGGCACTCCGTTCAAATGTTTTTTACTAACACACATTTTTAAATTCTGATGAAATTCAAAATAAAAATGTGACCGTCGAAAACATTGCGTAACTAAAAAAATTTTGAAAGTTTTGCATATATGATACTCGTGCGATTGAACATAATTTATTAATTCTTCAAATTACAAAGAGCGAAGAAAGTTTTCATCTAAAGAGATTCAAATAGTACGTAGTCAAATTGTAATTGTCTTTCCTTTTATGTAAACATATAAAGTACTACTACTAACAACACTATTAACAAAAGATCAGAATCCGCAAGCAAAAAGCACGAGCCAAAATTAATTTCTTGTATTTTTTAGCATTAAACAGCAATTTTCATGCAAAAAATACGAGATAGAAATCATAGATATTATCAATATTGATTGCACCCTAATGACGAAGAAGCTATTTTACTATTACGAAACCGAACACCAAAAGAATTTATGATTTTTTTTTTCAAAAGTTAATTTTTTATGGACATAAATTTGCATAAATATATACCTTTTCCAAATCTTACACCATTAGATTCTCAAGATTTTAGTCCAGTTACTAAGTTGTTTACGCGATTACAATCCTTAAAGTAAAAACAAATTAAAGAATGTTATGAATATTAAATACGAATGAAAACACGTTTTTTTTTTATTGTACACAGCTGTCGCCCGTGACTCTGTCTACGCAGATTTATAAAAAAAAATCTTAATTAGTAGCCGATATGTTGTTTCAGACTAAGTTCTGTTATGTCAAATTTCACCGAGATCCGTTCAACCGTTCTGGAGATACCTTCCAACAAACATCCATTCAAACATTCGCATTTATAATACTAGTAAGGTAAACGAAGAAGCAGCCATCTAATTTCGCAGCAGCAAACAAAATTGTGTCGCTGCCATAATCATTCACGTTTGAAGTTGCGTCACCTACCCTCAATCGACGAGGGAGGGGACGAACAGAAAGAGGATTTGAAAATCTTTTTCACCATTACGCATTTACAATATCCCCGGGTGACATAAGCTATTTTTATTACTACCTTTTTTTATTTCTCGCGGACGAAGTCGCGGGCAACTCTTATTTTTTATTAGTGTAGAAAAAGGTTAACGGGCAAGAATATCCCTCAATCATCAGATGTAACTTAGAGTACACTATTTTACGCCTGCCTTCTGAGAGGTTCCTCGCGTTTCAAAGGACCGACCACTTCATCTATTAAACCATATTATTTATGTCTTGGAGTTATGTTCAAGAGAAGAGTGAATAAACATTTGCTAAATTAGCGCATCCTTGGACTTACTTGGATTACAATGAGGTAGGATTGTAATTCTTTTCATTATAAAATAAAAGCTTGTGAAGAGGCTTTTGAACCAAAAAACCTTGCGAAATATAAAGAAAGTTTTAACTTCTGAATTTTTAATGTTGCCAATTAATGAACTCAAAAATGGTGTCAAAAATGTATTCGGAAATATTAAAATGCCTATTAACATTTCGATAGGCTGAATGTTTTATCTGTAGACACATAAATTCGTCGCTAATATTTTGTAAAAGTGAAAATTAACATTTAAAAAATGCCTAAATATTTGTTTATATACTTATCGAAATTAGCATATAGTATCAATGATCTGAGAATGTCAATTGAGACTACTCATCTCAAAAATATATTAATTTTCTTCAAAAAAAAGAATTTTAAGTTTCCATGGATCCATACAATTTCACAGACTTTTGACAGGTAAACGGTTTTTTCTCAACAATGTTGGCTCAATTCCTTTGGTTATAGAGGTTCTTTGTTGTAGATCTGGGTACATTAAGAAGAAGTATATTTATTATTTAAATAAGTTTTAATTGAACAAAAAAAAATGTTATAGTACTTATTTCTTCGATTATTTTATTACAAGACATATTCTCGACTATTCATAGTTGCTCGTGATGCTCGTACTGCCCGACACTATGATACCCGTCCATTACGTACATTAAGCCTCATACAAAATTAATTCAATACATCATAGGTGTCAATTGCTACACTAATCATCCTTAAGTAGACAAACTAAATTGACATAACAAACCTCTTTGGCTGTACTTAGGAGTTCTAATAAGCCCTTCCACAACGATCGTACTGGCCATGAAGAAAAAAAGCCACGAAAGAAGAAAAAATAAAAACAGTTGACAGTCACTAAAAATTTAATAGTCCGTGAGGTGTAATCCACGAACATGTCTGTCCAACTGATAGAGGCATTGCTATCGCGGTTAGTTCAGTCTATAATTTAATAATTATAGAGTGATAAAGTTATTTAATACATAAGGTAAATTAAGGTTTGGTAATCCACTAGCGCCCCAGTGTTAATGTCAAAAAAGTGTCAAGAGATTCCAAATGTGATTTAACGTCTATGTAACTTGAATGTAACAATGTGTAGTATAAAAAAGTATCCCTCGTTTTTTGTTTCGTGAAATTTATGTGAAAGTTTACATAGTTTAACTCCTACAGGAAACAAAATAAGCTTAAAAGTTTGTGTGCGAATGTACTCGTAACGTCCAAGAGAAAGGTACGTAATTAACATTGACACAGTGATTTACATATAAATAAATATACCTTATTTCAGCCATTTAAGCCTATAGCCAGTGATAGCCTTTTAGAAATTTTTTTTAAATGAAAAAGGTAGTTATTTAAATTTATACGTTACCTCCAATAATTGCAAATCTTTCGTCATAATACTAGAATAGAAACAGCGCCATCTCTTATTTAAAGACAAAACTATGCTAATGCCGCGAATGTTGACACTGTTATGATGACGTTTAAGGTAATAAAGTTTATACAATGTTATAGATGGCAGTATATTGTTATATTTTTTGAAGGTCCATTAAATATTCAATGTGACTCTATTAAAAATAAATCGGAAGTTACGCCATCTTTATTATTTTAACTAGCTATCGCCCGCAACTCTATCCAAGCTGAATTAAAAAAAAATATTAATTAGTGGCCTATATGTTCTTCTAGACTATGTTCCCCTTGAGATCCCTTTACCCGATCTAAAGATTTCTTCAAACCATCTAAACATTCGTATTTATAATATTAGTAAGATTATTATGTCGGTATCAAATTCACTTATGTAGTGAATCGCTAATATAAAGTATATTAAATACAATCTTATATTATTGTTACAGGGCCCATTTTTGACATCATTGAAATGGTAAGTCTGAATTAGGAATTATTCGATTATCGAGACGTAGTTACTACTTTTTTCTATTTGTACTTAATTTTAAAATATAATTTCTAAATTACGAACAAGTAACGTGAACCATAGTATACTTTGTAACTATCACAATCATTTGATAATTTAGAGTTTTTATTATTGAAATTGCAATCTCAATCGTTGATATTTAATATATGTTTTTTCATCTTGGTAATAAGATTGAAATTATAAAATTTAAAATACAAGCTTAATTAATATCACGTTGTTTCTGATATTGCATTTGAATTTCTAGATTCTAGACATTATATATTATTTTTAATATATTATGGTATTTAAAACTAACAACTAAATTTCTGCAACATAGCTTAAAATTAAATTAGAAAAAATATTTAAATATGTAATAAATGATTAACTAAAATAAATTAGTAAATGAAGTCCATTTAGGTTAGGTTCCAAAGATACTTTGTCCGAGGTTACTGCCAGGTCTTCGGGTATCCTTGATGTCGACTAACCTTTTTGCTAATTATATAATAATATTAATTATACTTTTAGTTTTATAAAAGTTTCTTTTAAGGTAGAATTTATAATAATTATCTTTACTTAGAAGACAGATTAAAACCAAGAAGTGGTCGTTTTTAACGTATTTGCGAAATATTTTTTCTTTTGCTGCATGATAACAATAACATACCCATAAAGAAAGAATTTCTATAACATGGTTTTTATTTAAAACTTTAAATATAATCGTATAGAAGATATTATGATTTTAAAACTATTTTAGTTTGTTTCGATAGAAAGTATATATAGAACCTAAGTTAAATTTTAAATTCGCTGTTAGTATTAAGTGTTAAAGGAAATGAAAAAAAAATCATTTTTGTATACTTACGAGATGTCTATTAAAAATATGTAAAAGGTATAATACATTAAATCATAATTAGCATTAATTTACTCTTCAAAAAATGTTTAGCAGCGTTTATAAATGACGTCCCAGAATAACTTACAAATAGGTTAAAGAAATACGAAGTCTTGGTTTCCACGGTTGAAACATCTGTTTAAGAACAAATTCTTTGTGAAAAAATGAGATAGCTATTGGTTATCCGCTCCTACTGATTTCGGAAGCCTATGGTTGAATGGTCTCTAACAACTTTTAAATATTCCTGCTAAAATAAACAAATTAAATAAATGCTGACGTATTTATTAGCTTAGAAGTTTGAATTCAAATGGTATACGATTTTGAATAATTTAATAAGTAAAGTGTAAAAATATTCAAAGTGATTTTAATTCTAAGCGCTTTCGTTTTCTTTATTTAAACAGAGATATTATTTCATGTTTGTTAGATAATTATTATAAAAAATATAAATTGATTCCATAAGAGAGTTTCGCAGTTTTGTCAATTCTAATATACTCGTTTATTACGTAAATATAATAAATACTTTTTTAATTATTACTTTTCGCTGCAAAATATTTAATGAGATGAATCAATAAACAGTACAATATTTTATTCATTAGATTTTTTAGATGTTGATCTATTAAAGAGTGAGAATTTACCATTATTACGGACATAATGCAACGGCATGCAACAGGCAGCAATGTGCCCGTTGCTCTTTTATTCTCCTATGATAGCTTTTCCTGTCATAACAAATAAATCTACTCAAAAGTAATAGGACGAGAAAAAAGAAGAAGAAGCGTATAAAAGAAGGTCGTTAAAATAAAGACTGTTTTGATATAAAAATCTTAGAAAAATATACACAGTTTATTATTACAGCTAATGACTATCAATATTTACAATTGTATTGACTATTTGGTAGGATCATGACTGTTTTTTTTACATTTTATTCACCAGCAGCAGCTCTTCTTTTTGTAGTGGGTTACGTGCTTGATGATGTGGATGGGGTAGGGCTTCCATACGGGCACGGGTACTTCCACGTGCTTCTCCACGGGGACGTGAACTTTCTTGATAACCTCGTATGGCCTTTCAACTGGGATTGGTACCTTCCTAATGACTTCGAATGGCACATGCTTCACGACCTCGACGGGCACTGGTCTTTCAACCTCAACGTGCTCGGTTTTGTATACAGGGTAAGGGACATGTTTCACGACGTCAACGTGAACCGGGTAGGGTTGAGGCACTGGCACCCTGACTTCCTGACGGACTGGGACGGCCACGGGCTGGGGCACTGCCACTTGGATATGACGGGTCACTTCAACTGGGATGCGACGAACGACGTTTTGTACGACAGACTGCAGCTCGTATCTGGTAGCGCCAGCAACTGGGCGGCCGACGGTAACCGTGGTGCCGAGTACTCTTGGAGCGCCGACAGCTCCGTTGGCGGGGCCAGCGAGTCCGGTGTCGAGAACTGGGCCGATGGGATTTCCGAAGGCAGGACCCGATGCGGGAGCACCAAGTAAAGCGCCATCACCTCCGCTTGGTCCTACAATTGGAGCACCGTTTGAGATAGGTCCAGCGCCCAATGCGGGACCTCCAAAACCTGCATCGCCACCGAAGACTGGTCCGTTCGCCAAACCTGGACCGTTAAGTCCTGGGCCGCTGAGTCCGGAGTCGCCAAATCCAAGATTTCCGCCCAGAGACGGGCCACTGGCCAAGGGTTGATCTCCCAATGAAATGTGTCCATGGTTAATAGAGCCCAAGCCTGAAGAGTGATCATCGGCTAATAAGCTTCCATCGGCGCTAGCTCCCGGTCCACTCAAGTCCAAAGATGGTGCCGGAGGTCCGTAAGATGTAGACGGCGAACCGAAATTAGCTGATGGAGAATTTAGAGCTGAAGATAAGAAGGAATCGGAGCTGTGTTCTCCAGTAAGGATCCCGGCATTAGCACTATACGCTAACGCAGACAGAAACAGCAGTTTCATCTGGAATAAAAGTACAAAGATTTTAGGACATGCTGGGAATGTTTTTTAAATTAAAGTTAAATCTTAATTTTTTTCAAATTAACTTACAACAAACGCCATGGCTGTTAGCTAAACGCTTAAAAGCCAGCCAAGAAGAGGTTGTTGTTGCTTGTTTCGAGTTTCGGTGGTTTGTGATGTGATAACGTTCTGTGCCCACATATTTATACAGATCGTTCTATACAACGCCCATGCATAATTTAACGACGTCGGATGGTTCAAACGTCATAATCAGTTCCTAATATTTTTGTGTTAGTTAACAGATCGTAGTCATAGTTTGCATTCCTATGTAAAACTAGCGAATTTTTTTCACTATTCGTTAATTAATTCTGCACGCCTTTCTATGGATAAGAATTAATTATTCTAGAAGAATAGTGATAAAGTGAACTTCCCGTCTATACATATGTTTTAATTAAAATTAAAAGTATTGTGAACTTTTTGCGATTTATGTAATGGAACAAAATTTCTTGTATAGTTATGTACGCGAAAATATTATATATTACGGTTTTATACGATATATAAAATATAAGTTAGTTAAATCACTCGTGTATGGGGAAACTATCTTGTTATATCATAACGCATCTGCTCCTATTTTTTATTACTTGGTATCGTTGCCAAGTAATAAAAGTGTTCCAAAATATAAAGGGGAACATCCTGCACTCAATAAGTAGAATAGTTAGATAAAGACGAATACCGTAACATAGACGAGTGTTTTTATTATTATAACAGCAAGAATTTACAAAGAAAACGAAACACCCTGTTAAATTTGTGTACTGCGTATAAAAATAAATAGGTTAATTTTATTCAAAATATTTCTTAAGATTCCAGAAATTGAAAAGGGCTTTTTATATTCTGTAAGTAAATAGTTACTCATGACCCAAGTTAAGATCCTTCTTTGAGAAGATCTAGATAACCTAAGATCTATTTAGAAAAACTAAATTTAAACATTACTTAGGTGTACGTCACCTGAAATCGCCTCAGGTAATTAGAACAATAGTAGCATAGATTACTTGTGAATTGTAAAGCTTTCTTGGCTAAAATAATATTTAAAATCAATTAAATTATTCATTTAAACCGGAACTGGTATGTATTGAAATTTCTATTATTTATCATATTAGTATTGGTAACAAATACATTTTAATAAAATTAGTAATAAGTGAAATTTTAAAATAACGCGTAGACTGTTTACTTATACTGTTAAATATGTCATCCTATCAGGTGTATATCGATTACGATATCTTAACTTTTTAATAAATCTATAAAATGTTTAAAAAAAATTATCGAACTGAATAATATTAACATCATGAATATCTGATCTGATGAATATCATAAATAAAAGATGTCATCTTTTACGTTCTATAAAATAAGTTAGCAAATATCAAATTACCATAAGACTTATTTCATAAAACTACATTAAATAAACAGTGGCTGTTCGGCTTATCTTTCGTCACTTATTACCATTAATGCCCTTTATTGTGTAATTCGAATTTGTTATTATAATTCGATAAGAAACTGGTTTGACCTCCGTATAGTTTCACCTGGTCTTAAGAAAATATATGCTGATTAGTTTTCGACTGACCGATATTTCCGACTTCTTCCGGTTGACTTCGTGTCAACTTTTACGTAATTTTTAGCGCGACTTGTTCTATGATTTTAGGCATTGAATCTGGTTTGTACACGCGCAGAATCATAATATCAAATGTCTTTTTCCGGAATTTCGTTATGAATTACGAAATGGTTCACATCATTAAATTACGTCTATGAATGACAAGTTTCTCTTTATTATCTTTTATTTCTAGCTGCATGAAATTTAATTATAGGATACATACATAGATACACTTACTAAGACTATTGCGGCTCATTTTAATCTTGTCTTTAGGCTAATATATTATGGTAGGCAACGCATTTGCAATTGCTTATGAATATGGGCAACAGTTACTTCCCTATTTCAGCGATTTCAGGCGGCAGCTCGCTCGCTTGCCATCTTATGATATAAAAAAAAATACTGGTGTAGGTGATTCACTTACTAAGACTATTGCGGCTCATTTTAATCTTGTCCTTCGGCTAATATATTATGGTAGGCAACGCATTTGCAATTGCTTATGTCTATGGGCAACAGTCACTTCCCTATTTCAGCGATTTCAGGCGGCAGCTCGCTCGCTTGCCATCTAATGATATAAAAAAAATAATACTGGTCAGTAAACAAAACATAACATTATTTTATATTTTTATGTTATAAGTATGTCAGCACTTAATAAAATAATTTCTAATTTCTACTCTAATATATCAGAAATATTGGTAGGAATTTGGAGTTATCCATACACTAGCAGCAGTTATTATGTGTTAGCTCTTCAAATTTACTTTTGTAAATTTACTTAGAGCAAACTTAAACTAAAAACGATCTTTTACTGCGTCTTATATTAATTTAATCGAAATTCTGTGTGAAAACTTATTCGATTGAAATTAGTTAAATTTTCTTGTATTTGATGATGGTGACATATCGATATTTATATTGTGTAAGGTTTTAGACTGATTTATGAAGGCCGCGCAGAAAAGTAGCGTGGCCTTCACCGGCCGATGGGATATATTTAGTATATTAATTATTTAATATAGTAATGCCATCACAATATTAAAAACTTAATTTGGTATGAATGACAACATCATTCGCGTTTTCTCACGCTCTCTAGTTCAATTTCTACAATAATAAACTTTTAGATTAGTTTTAGTTAACTTATGTAAACTTTTGTCTATGTGTTTGTCATATTATTTGGTTTGGAATAACTTCAACTTAATACCTACTTAAATTAAAATTAAAAATACAAATATAGAAAATGTAAAACTTCAATTTACTTCATACAGCATTGCAATATAAATTTTCATATAAGTTATCGTGTCAATCGGAGCTAAAATCGAAGTTATAAAATCTAAATTTCCTATGCTATGAACTTAATTATGAAATAAATATTAACTATATGTGTTTTATGCTAGCATATTTTTTTCTGATAAAGGCACAGGTGAACGACGTTTATATTTTGTAACGCCCATGGACATCCACGACTTCTGATATGCTATATACCCTAAGAACGTAAAAACATAGGTTTAGTACATCCCTCTAGATTACAGGCGTGGTAAATACTTACTCCGCTGGCACAGCGACCCAAATCCGCGAATCGGCCCGGCTCGCCCGGTGAAATACCACGACCACACAGAAGACAGGCGTGAAGTGGAAGCAATTCCGCGTTTCGTCTGATGAGTGTGCGTCCCGGAGGCCAAAATTAGTCCTCTTTCCCTTCCCACCCTTTTTCTTATTTATAAGAAAAGGATGGGAAGTGGAAGTGGACTTTCCGGATGAGAGGATGCATGGAATGGGAAAATATTTTCTTTCTGTGCATTCTCTTCTCCGTCGATTAAAGGTAGGCAACGCATATGCAATTGCGTATGTCTATGAGCAACGGTCACTTCGCTGTTTTTAGCAATTTCAGATGGCCGCTCGCTCGTTTGCCACCTTGTGATATAAAAAAAAAAGTAATTTTGTACATCTGAATTTAACCCAACCAACACGACTTGCAACGCTGTTAGGTTTTAAAACTATATAGTATGTGTTTTTTTACCCATGTCTTCTAAATTACGTTCCTTAATTTGATTTTAATATTTTTGTTTTCGTCAATATATGTGTAATAGTACTGCATTATTTTTTATATTTTCAAATTAAAAAATAAATAGTTATTACTTTTTTCGGATTTAATCGATGTCATAGTTTATCTTATGCCAGAGTTTTTAGTTCGTCAGTGACTAAATTAATATAAGTTCAATTGTTAGATACTGGTTAAGGCAGCATCAGAATACATCTTATAAATAAATAAAATAAAATTGTCTTTGGATAAATTTTTTATTAAAGTAACAATCTACATTACTATTTACAAAGAAAAAGGTATACACAATTCTTTGACCTAACTTAATGACTTAGTTATCACCCTACATTGCAGCCTCTCGATGAGCTCATGATGGCAAATATGTACAAAATGTTAGACTAGCAGGGAGGTACACAGTTATTGTTGAGGTACACTGGTCGCGCAAAAGGCAAGCTGAGATTACCACTGAGACCAGCCGTGGCCGTGGCCGAAGCTGTGTCCGTGGCCGTGACCGTGGCTGATGTGCGCCTTGTGATGGACCGTCTTCACCACAGGAACGGGGTAGGTCTTGACGACATGCACCGGTACTTCCACAACCTTGACGATGGGAACTTCAACGATTTTCTCAATTGGTACAGGATGGTCTACTGGAACCTTAACAACTCTCTCAACCGGTACTTTGACGATCTTTTCTACTGGATAAGGCACTGGCTTGTCGACATTGACGTGTTGAATCTTGACAACAGGTACCGGTACGTTTCTGACGACGGGTACTTGGACCGGGTAAGGTTGAGGAACTGGAATCTGAACTTGCTGAGGAACCGGCACGGGCACGGGCTGGGGTACTCTGTGTGTGACGTCGCGCACGACCTGGTAAGGTTCATCGCGTACTCGGTATTGGGTGGGTGCTCCATTGCTGTTAGCGAGACCGTGAATCTCGTTGATTACTGGAGCCTTGGGTCCCGGGGGTGGAGCGCCACCACCAAAGTTCAGAGGTCCAGCCAAAGGTGCTCCAGGTCCGTTTAATGATGCGCCAAAAGAACCCCCCAATGGTGCACCAAAGCCAGCACCAGAAGGTGCAGTTAAAGGTGCTCCCACTGGTCCGTTTATTCCGGCACCAGGTAGGGTCGCAGCGGCAAGAATAGGGCCGGCGTCACCGGATGCATCATATCCGGTACCATGAGACTCGACGGCTAATCCACCGTTGAGGAAGCCGTTGCCAGAGAACGTAGCTGAGGGCAGTGAACCTGATGGGAAGCTGCTCGGAGAGAAGCTCGAGGCGCTGATGGAAGGAGGTGGTGGCGGCACCGCGAGCCCACCGTGGCCTCCATGTAGGATACCAGCATTACTGCTACTAAGTAAGATTGCTAAAAACGCTAAATTTGTCTGAAAGAAAAAAAATAAATGTTGTAAATGTACGATTTTTATTTTAACTCATTTTATTTTTTCAAATAACGTTTCAACTTACAAAAGTAGCCATTTTATTTAGCTAATCGCTGGCCACACAACTATGTCTG